TTTTTTTTTTTTTCTTTTTCTCTTTTTCCCATGTGCCTTCCCTACCCCTAAATCTCTGCACCAAAGCTCATTGCAGGCAATGTTGGAAAATAACTGCATTTGAAAGAAAAAGAAAATGGCTGTCATGCTCTTAACTTTGGGCCAGCTTGAGGGGCCACAGGTTGGTCAACATGACTGATCCTTGATTTGGTTTTCCTGGTCTGGACTGCCTGGGTGGTGACAGTGCTGTGGTTGGCCAAAGACAGGACAGAGCTAGTCCCTATCTGGACTGCCTTAGTGATGGGGACGAGTGTGGTGAGAAAGGGGCTACCCCTTCAAGGGGCTGGAGCTTGGTAGATGTAGTGAGGGGGTAGGGCAATTTCCAGTGTGGCTGGGGATTAGCAAAGGAGGTTAATGTCACAGGAGGTTAATGGAACATTCTCTGCCCCTCCCCAGACTTTTTCCACTTAGGGATGTTGTGTCAACAGCCATGGGATCTGGCACTATTTGTGTGGTGACAAGACTGCATGGGTAAATACTTCACCTAGCTCAGCAGAGGCCTACGAGTCAGTCCTTCTGTTTGGCGCAAAGCCAGGAGAGGCCCTTCGTCTTTCACCACTGTCAGGCCCTTTGCTATTTATTCTTGATATTTCTTTTTGTCTTCCACAGAGAACAGCAAAGAGATGTGGGAATTGGGTTATTAGTTTATGTACTCTGCAGACTTTTCTGAAAGTATCTCTAGCTCCTGCTATTTGCCTCACCAGGTGTGGCCTCCCTGCCTTTTCAAGGATCAGATACTCCACCCTGTCTGTATCTGTGTTCCTGGTCTCCCAGCCTCTGCCTCCTTCCATCTCCTGATCAGGCCTCCTAGGGTAGACCATTCCCCTTGTTCCTGGATTTTTCAGGCATTATCTGTTCCCCTTCTCCCGGTATTTTTCTCTGCCACCTTGGATTATCTCTGTCCTTATTTCTGATAGCCATTAGTTCTTATCTGCTCAAAGCCAAGGAGGGGAGGGGGGTTGAAATCTGTCATGGTACAGTAGTAGGAGGAGACTTTTTGTTATTTTTTTCCTCAGTGTCCCTTACCCTTTCCTAACTCTAAGGCCACTGAGGTTTGGAACTGAAAGGCTTTTCACTATTTCCATCACACCTGTGCTATCTCCCAGGAATTTCCTCATGGCCTGGTCCCTGGCCCAGGTCCACCCCATCACCCTGTCCAACATGAACTGCAGCCAACACACTGGCCAGGGCTGGATGACCAGTAGGCTAAGTAATGCCAGGTTAGCCTCAGACCCCAGGGGAGGAAAAACCCAAGAACTCCCTGAGCACAGGTCTCTGAGATAGGGCTGCAGCTGACTTCCTTGGCTCAGAAGAGCCCCAGTGCCTCAGGCTTCTGCCCTCCATAACGCCACCTCTTCTGGTAAGTGACAAAGAAGGAAAAAATCCCAATCCTGATAGAAAATGTTTAAATGGGGTGACACCTCTGGCTCAGTGAGTACGGCTCTGGCCCCATATACCAAGGGTGGCGATTTCGAACCCAGCCCCAGCCAAAATGCAACAAAAAAATAGCCATGCGTTGTGGCAGGCACCTGTAGTCCCAGCTACTCAGGAGGCTGAGGCAAGAGAATCGCCTAAGCCCAAGAGCTGGAGGTTGTTATGAGCTGTGATGGCACAGCACTCTACTGAGGGCAACAAAGTAAGACTCTATCTTAAAAGAAGAAAGGTCTAAATGACTAGGCTGTGTTCCTCTCTGCACATCCTTGCCTGGGGGGTGCAAATTTGAACCCACTGCACACATTAGGCTGTAGTGAATCACCCATGCTCACACCAGCCTTCTGGTAAATCTTTAATATGTGTCCCTAGCCAACACTGACCATGCTTTGCAGTCAGAAGTCCCCAGGCTTGGCCCCAGACTTCAGCATTTCACCTGCAGACTGCCCCTGTGAGTGAGGAAACAGGAGTCAGGCCCCAGGATGTCCCCACATTGGAGCCTGTCAGGCCAGACCTGGAAGCCAAGGGGAGGGTAGGGGCTAAATGTATGGCCATCCCAGCATCCCCCAGCACAGGATGGGAAGGGAGGGGCATATGGAACAGCCCAGTGTCCTTCCTGTAGATTCCTTCCCCAGTAACATTCATCCATTGGCTCCTAGAAAATGGTGCCCTGCCCCTGGAATGGGACTCAAAGGTAGACCCACCCACCCACTAGGTTGGGAGAAGTGTTCTCATCCAGCAGAGCTGAGGTTCTGCCAGTTCCTGTACCTGAGGAGCACTTGAGTTACCAGGGTTATAAGCTAAAATAAATCTTGCCTGGGGCGGGTCAGTGTTGTTGCCAGGGTAATGGATGTAGGCCAGTTGTTTGCAGGCTCTTCCTGGTACCCAGCAGACCAAATTACCTGATGTTGATTCCCACCTCACTCCATCCCCACACAGTCCCCAGGCTTCCCCAGACCCCAGGTACCCATATCCTCCCTTCTGTGTTTCTATTACCCAGCACTCAGAACTCAATGACACAAAGTGCTTTGGTCTCTATGACAGCATCTGTGATTCCACAAGGACTGGGGTACTTCAAGTATTCTGGGTGATGGGAAGCAGGAAGGACAAGGTATGAAGAGACCTTAGGTAGCTTCAAATCAAGCCTGGGGGAGTAAAGCTCTCAGGCCAGCAGCACAGTAGGACACCTGGCATGTCCTGCTGCTTGAGGTGGCAGCAAGATGACATCCTTTGTGTCCCTGCCACTTCACATACACATTGTGCCTGTATCAAGACCTTTAGCCACACAAGGGACACTATCCTGTTTGTTGGCTATTTACAGATCCATTGTATACCTGCCTCTCCCTGGTCAACACTAATGGACAGCTACTGTGCCCACCCCTGCCCCTGCACCAGCTGAGCTGAGTGCCTCTCCTGTGCCTTGGTGGAGCTTCAGCTCACCAGGAGGCACCTGGGGCCCCATCCTTGTAATGCTGGTAGATGTCCTGCATTTCACTCACTGTGACCTTGGAAGTGTGCAAGGACCCAAACTCCTTGCACACAGCACACTGGCTTCCTAGAATGCCAGCTAACAAACAGGTCCCTTCCCCAGGAAGTGAAGTGTGGGTGGGGAACTTCTGCCTTTTCCTGTTCACGCTGTCCTGGACCCTAGACTAGAGTGAGAAAAAGAAGTGGGTTTCCTTGTTTCCGTTCCTATTCTATTGTGTCCCTTGCTTTCATTCCTGTTCTGTCCTGTCCCTGACCTGAGGGAAAATCTCCCTGAATACCATCTTGAGCAGGAGCCACACGGTTCCTCTTCTCTCCTAGACCCTCAGCATTCTCCTTTAGGAATCCTTGCCTGGAGAGTGATATCATCAAGGTCCTCTGAGGCTCCTCCATGTGACACCTGCTGGTTTGTCTTGCACAGTATGTGTCATCACCCATCCTATAAGTGAGTTGGTGGTCCTTGGATCAGAACTGAGGTGCAAAAACGTCCACTCCCCACTCCCATCTCAAACCTCTCAGGATGCAAGGAACAAAGGGTACCCCCACAGGGAGTTTGCACTTCTATGATCTGAGCCCTCAGCTGGTCCTGGTATGGCATTTGGGGACAATGGTGGTGAGGAGGAGGCATTGAGAGCAGTAAGGCAGTATGAGGGGATTGCCCCTGAGAAGTGGCCTTTTCTTTAGCAGAGTCTTGGGCAGGTATGGTCTATGCACAGGAACCAATCCAGAAGTTTAGCCAAAAACATCTCTACCACCCCAAATTCAGGAAGAAATGAAACCTCCAGCTCAGATAAATCAATCCTGCCCAATCCTCAGGCCATGGCTCCTGGGCCTGATTACACTTGCCTGATTACACTTGCCTCACACCCAGGCTTTTTCAGTTGGTTGCCCTAACCTGCGGCCTCCTGCCTGCCCAGGAGCAGTGACTGGTAAAGACGTCCCCACTCTCCTACCCCCATACAAAGTCTCTGCTCCAGAGTGAAGGCCACCTCTCCTGGATATCCCAACTTCAACTCAGGCACCTGGGCCGTGCCACGGTTGACCTCAGGAGTGGGGATTCTGGGAGCGGCCTGCGGAAGTAGGGAGGGGAGCCGGCCAGATGGAACCTCTGCAGCCTTAAGAGCCCGAGTGTCGCAGGCCGCCGGGCAGCCACCGGAGCTCAAGCTGTGTGCAGACCCCTCAGACTTCAAGTTGGGAGCTGAGACCCTGGGCATCAAGACCGGTCGCAGACTGCCAGGTCACTGCTCCTCTTCCCTAGTACCCACCACCTGAGCTCCACCTCTGCTGGAGGTGGCTCAGGGACGAATACCAGCCGCCTCAGCCCCCTTCCTCCAACCACTTTATTGCCTTCGGCTGGGAACAAAGCCGGTAAGCAGCCCCAGAGTCCAGGTGCGTTGACTTGCCCCTCGGCCCGCCACTACCGTGGGCTTTCCCGGCAAACCTGAGGCTCTCTGACCACCTGCGGAAGCAAAAGTTACTGCGCCGCCGCTTCCTTGCCCTACGCACCAACCCGCAGCACCTCAAGAGTTATGAGAGCAATGGCCCGGCGCAAGAAGTATTTCGGCGGCCACCGAGAACAGCCCTAGCGCCACGTGAACCCGGCAAGCGCTTGCAAGCCAGCGCCAGCTGATCGTCCTCTTACACTCGCGACAGCAGCCGGGGCATGGCGGAGGCCAGCGATGCGGAGTTGTAGGCGTACTACAGCGCCCTACTCTAGGCGTGCGCCGCCACCTGTGAGCCCCGGGCTGCAGGGGGTCAGGGAGACCGTAGGTTTGGTTTATTCCTAGCCTGTCTCTCCTCCAGGTCACTGAAAGTTCAAACATTAAACATTCACAAGTCTTAAGCTGTTAGGGCCAAGTGACTCTAACCTCTCGGTCCGGTGCCCCCTTGTGACCAGACCATTGAATCCCCAAGTCACAGTTCCCACGATTCTCTCCATTCCAGGACGTCTGGTCTGTGACGCTATGGCCCAATGGGCTGGAGCGGACCTGAGGCCTGGGCAGTGGTGGCTACTTCCCGTGCCTGGGTTCGGGGGCCCTGAGCCTGCTATGGAAGCCCCAGAGTAGGGCTTGCAGGACACCGAGGCATCACCGCAGCCTGCCCTGTACCGGCCCCTGCTCAGAGGGTGCCCCTGTGGCCACGCAGACTCTTTCTTCCTGGATCTTGGCCTCTGGTTGCCTATGTGTACTGGGGAGCTGTAGCTGCAGGCGCCCGACCGTGGTGACCCAAAGCATTCGTGAGACAGTCCTGAGTGGCAGGGATGTACCAGTGCCCAGAGATCCCCCGACGAGGGCCTACAGACTCTCCCCCAACCTTATGAAACTCGGCCTCTGCGGCCCAAGCAAGCAGCCTGAGCCGTTGGAGGTGCCTGGATGAGAGGATCCAGCAAACAACTCTCAGGGACCCAACGAGGATAGAGGTGTCAGCTTTGCGCTCTAAGGGGATGGATCGGCTGGGGAGTGCATAAACATGGGAGCCCATGGGGGCCGGCGAATCGGGCAGATACGTAGTGATAGCTTCCCCAGACTTTGTCCAGCCACCTCCAGCGCCGCTCCCGCTCTCCACCAGTCGCTTCAGGATTGGGGGACACCAAATATATGCCCAATGGATTGCTCTCTGCCAGGGTCCTTTTCTTCGAGCTCCCTGCCCCGTTCCTACAAGTCTGGACCTGGGCTCCGAGGGGCCCATCGCTGCGTTGAGGGTAGCTGGGGACCATTAGAGGCTGAGCCTTGTTCCCTCGCCGCGGTCGGAGTTGGCGAGGAAGTACACGTGCATGTAGTACCAGGCCCCAGGCTGCAGAGGGTATTGCCGACTGCCGGACCGGAGGTCCCAGACAGCTGCCTCTACTACGTTGGATCTGGTCGCTCTTCTTGAGGAACGCGACGTGGTCTCCGGGGTGGGCATGCTCCTCCCACATAGTTACTTGTGTATGGAATTCTAGAACCTGCAGGAGGCGCCGGTGAGGAGACCGGGCAGTCCGGTCCGGATTAGTTGGCGGATGGAAGGGGAGGGGGGAAAGAAAGTAGGGCAGTGGTATGAATGTCTCCCTTCCCCGCAGCAGAGGGTTCCAAGGCCCAAATACCCCCAGACGTGTGTCCCGCAGAGACGCCGAGCTCCCTCTTCCGGCCGCTGCCTTGCTCTGTCCCTTCAGCCGTGGCGACTAAGAACTATCTTCAGTAGGAGGTTTTCCAAGTTTTATATTTTTAGGGAAGAAAATTCCAGAAACACCCCACCACCACCAAAACAAACCACCAAAAACTGTTAACTTCTGGGCTTTCTCAGCTGAAGGCCTGATCCTATTTCCCTGCAGAGTTCATGCACACTCACTTGAGCCTCCAATCAGCCTTGTAGGTGCACCACCTTGTAATCAATGACATTTGTGTGGACCTGCCCTTCCCCCCCACCTTTCAAGCGTCTTCTTTGTGTCTCAACTGAATTAAGGAACTAGCCCCATCCAGCCCCAGAGCAGGACTCCTGGGGTCCCGGCACTAGAAAGATGGGGCACCAAGGATCTTATCACCAGTGCCTCCCCAAAGTATTGTGTTCCCCCTCCCTAGTTTGCTTCTCCCAGGACCAGCCACGTGTTCAGGCAATTCTCCCTTCTCCCTGCCTGGCTGAGTTAATGGCTTCTTGCTTCCTACAGGTTCAATCCCTCATAGTACTGTGGACCATCCACCCACTCACTCATTAAAGGTCTGGCTAAAAATGCTTTAGGTCAAGAATTCCCCCAATGCACAGCAGGGGGTGGCCAGTGAGGGACTTGAATTTGCCAGAGGCCAGCCAATGCAGTGGGAGAAAAGCACCCCATCCCTGCCCCCATGTCCCACTCTGCCACCAGCCACCAGAGCCTGTTTTGCAAACACTGTTTTATTGTCAACAGAACCTGCCTAGAGCAGGGAGAGGAGGGGTCCACTCTGCCCCAGGAGAGCTATGGACAATGGGTGTCTGGGGTCCATGGGAGACAGGGGTCAGTGCAGTGAGAACAGCTGGGGCCACCACTGCTGCCTGACTGGTCTGGCTGGCCAGAGATGGGGTCTGGGAGGCCAGCTGGGGCTGCGGGAGCTGATGAAGAGTTGGGTCTCGGCTCCCCCTGGCTCATCTGCAGCAGGCCGGTGAGGGCGATCAGCTCTGGCCCACTGAGCCAGGCAGTGGAGCAGCTCTGGGAACGGCTGGGGACAACCCAGGGGGACATGACAGGGGGTGGGAGCAGCAGCTTCAGGGAGCCCATCACCTGAGGAGAGAGGAGGGACACGTTCCTGCCAGGCCTCCAGGGAGGAGGCTGGGGTGAGGCCAGTAGAAGAAAGCTCTTACCTGCTGTGGGGGCCTCAGATAGGTACAGGGGAACACGCTGCCCACAGGGCAGCAAAGGGTCGCACAGAAAGACATCTTCTCGGCACATCACTGAGAACCCTGGGGAGAAGAGACTTCTAGGGGTGGGCTGGGGCTTCTCCCCCACTCTCCCGCCAGCCCTGTTCCCCTTGAGGTTTGTTCAGTGTGGCTCCCAGCCTGAGGGCACCAGTGTGAGTACCTGTATCCTGCACTGCCCACTCTCCATTTTGAGGCCCTGTTCCAGGGTTCCTGAAGGTCCGAGGCCTGACACCCACACTGGAGGATGCCTCATAGAGTGGCCAGAAGGAGGGATGACACAGTGTGCGGCCTGAGAAGGAGGCGCCTGACCCACAGCTAGCTCCCTGAGGAGGAGCAGGACAGGGCACTGAGGCCTTAGCTCTTCCCAAGAGGTCCCAGCCATGTGAGCCAGAGCTCCCCCAACTCACCCACACCAGCCGGGGTCCTGCTTTGGCTTGGTAGTTGGGGTCCCAGGGTGCAAGCAGAGTCATCCTTGAGGGAGCCACTTCCCGGATCATCTGAGGGGAAAGAGGAACTAGGGGAATACAAGATGGGGTTAAAATAGGCTCAGAGGCAGAAAGAAGGTCTTAGTGGCGATTAGAGGCAGCAGGCTGGGTCCTACCTGAGGGTCTCAGGGAATGCTCAGCGTCAGGGATCAGCCGCAGGTGGTGGCAGGGTGGTAGCTGCTCTGTCTGTAGCTGCCCTCTCTGGGTCCAGGATGATCTGAGGGCCTGGTGCTGCAGACTAGAGTGGGAGGCACTGATATGCTCCAGTCAGGTATCCACACTGCCCTATCCCCATCCAAGTATTTCCTGAAGCCCAGGGGTAAGGCCAAGGGTGCCTGGTTTGGGGGAGACTGCCGACCTATCCTCCCATAAGGACAACAGAGTCTGCTCCACCTACTGTAAGGGGCCAGGCCACGGCATAGAGGGGCCCCCCCAAATCAGATGTCCACCAGCCAAGCCCCTCACCTGTCCTGTAGGGGTGTTCTTGGCTCCCCCAGGGCTTCCTCTCCAGAGCTCCAGGCCTCGCCCTGGTCACTGCCCTCCAAGGGATCCGGCACCTCGGGCACCTCCTCTTCACCCGCGCACCACCACGGAGGCGGCCAGGGCAACATGCCGCGTCAGGGAGTGTGGGTGGTGCGGTTGCGCCCTCCCCACGTTCGGTAACCCACAGCGGCACTGCCCTGTCCCTGGCGTGAGCCCACCTTCTAGGGCCTCACTGAGACGCCGTCACTAGACCGCAGCGCGTCTCGCCCGCCACGTTGCACGCGTCCCCACCCCCACTGGGATACCGCGGGCGCCCCCTGGCAGCGGGGCGGAGAGGTCTGCACATCTGGCTGTCCTCAGCCTGGAGGCCTGTGCAAGGCACAACAGGACTGGGCACAACCCAATCTGAGACGCTCCCACAACACCCCTGCCCACTCACAGATACAATCACACCTGAGGGCCACCTAGGAGGCGGCTGGCTCTCTTTATTGTGCTTGACACTACACATGCCAGACCTTCCACCCAGACCCTCAGCCGCCCAGGGAGGGCCAACACAGCAGGCTGCTGGGAGGGCCTAGGCTCAGGGCTAGGCCGGAGGCCACCCTCACCAAGTCCTTGTCAGAGGGCAGAGCCCAGGCACATCTTCCATTCACGGAGTCTGGGCGGTGGGGCCCTGTGGCCTACCGCCACCCCTAAGGCCGTTCCAGCAGTGCATGGACAACAGCAGCGATGTGGGGGAGGCCCCTTCCCGGGGCCCCCTCCTCTTCCAGGATGTGGTGGGGCTGGCACAGGGACTCCTGGGGGGAGGGGCCCAGGTTAAGTACCCCCTTATTACCCCCTTCACTTGGTTTCCCTGCCCTGGCAACGTATAGGAGGTGAAGGTCAGGCGCATTCTGGGCAGACACTCTGCACCCAGGACTTGGGGACACTAAGATGCAAGGAAGCTGCCAGCGGATTTAACAGTAGGGAGATGACACAGGGGTCCAGGCTCAGGGGCCTGTCATTCCCAGAGGGAGATGCTGGAGCAGACAGGCTGGCACACAGACCCTTGTCAGGGCCACTGCTGGGACCAACAGCAGGAGCAGACACAAACAACACACACAGAGGCTGCCACAGTCTGTACAGTTTATACACAGAGACAGGGACCCACCCAGCCTGGGCCCTGCATCCCTACAAATATAGAGTTCTCTCTACAAAATAGAGATAATTTAGCCCCCTGGGGCAGTGTGGGGGGAGGTAAAAGGGGAGGGCACAACAGGAAGGGAGAGAGTCAAGCTCCTGACACCCCTCTGGGAGAGCAAGTGCAGAGACCAGCGGCATGAATCAGCACTACAAGGATGGGGGCCGCTGGGAGCCGGAGGAGGGAGGCCAGAGGCTGGGGGCCCAGGGTCTGGGGGTACCAGAGTGGGGCCTCTGACATCAGTGTCTGTGAAGGGGGTACACTAGTGTCTTTGGTAAGGACTGAAGGCACCACTGGTGGGGGTTAGGTTGAGCAGGAGTCTTATAAATAGAAATAGGGGAAAGGATGGGGGGAGGGATGACTTCGGGTTCTAAGAACCCAGGAGCCGAGTGTAGATAACATAAAGCAGCAGCATGAGGACCACGTAGAAGAAGATGAAGCCACTCAAACCAGAGGGGGGCCAGACAGGTTGGGGGGCCTTGCCTCCCACCCGCTTCGCGACCTCCAGTGCAGTCTGCAGCCCCTGGGCGGTACCCTGGAGGAGATCTGAGGGCGAGCACAGGTCAGCCTGGGGAGGGAGAGTAGGGTAGATGGACAAGGACAAAAGACAGACGTCAGCAGCAACAGCAAGACAATCTTTCCCAACCCCTGTCCTCATGTGCCAGGGCCAGACCCACGCCAACATGCAGGCATGCAGGGCAGGGGCCATGTGAGGAGGGGGCATGGAGGGCAGGGGATATGCAGGGCAGGGTGCATGCAGGGCAGGGGCATGCTGACATGCGTATTCCTGGGAGCAGACCCCATCAAGGGAACCCCACCATCCATGCAGAGTGCTCAGATGAGCCCAGGATGCTGCCACTCTTTAGAGAACAGTCCCCATACCTCAGGTACCCCCATTTTTCGACAAGCTTCTAAGAAACTCTCCACATTCTTCCGAGACTTGAGGGCACTGAGTTTTGGCTGGGGGTGGGTAAGAAAAGAAGGTAAGAAGAAAGGCCACAGGCCTCCTGTTCTATCCCCTACATTCTGCCTTGCCCCCTACTAACCACAGCGGGTGAAGGCACATGAATGAAGGGCACAGAGCGGGGCCGTAGCTGGTTGGCCAGCTGACAGAGGATGACCCCATTGGCCAGAGCCTCAGCCAGGTCCTCAGGCAGGGGCCGCTGCAGCTGTGACTCAAGAACCTGAGAGGCAGGGGAGTGGAAGGAGCAAGTCAGAGATGGCAGGGAACTTGGGCCTGCTCCTTTCCATCCTCAGGGGAAGTACTAGGGAGCCAAGAGGACATTGAGGGAGGCCTGGATCCTGAAGAAGGAAACAGAGGTGCCAGGCAGATCCCAGGCCCCCATCTACACAGATCCCACTTCTGCTTACTTGGCGCAGCTGAGCCATTAATTCTTTCTCGTCTGGAATCTGGAGGGATCGTCGAGTCCTCAAGACAGAGTCTGGTGAGGAAGGGTCTAGGAGGAAAGGGGAGCACAGGAGTGTCTCTACTACTTACCATGGACTTTGTGCCTAGGTATCCGTAGTCTGGCACCCACACCTCCTGCCTTTCTGGGATTACAAAGGAACAAAAGACCCAGAGAGATCCCAGGGCAAAAAGGTGACACAACCCATCCATTAGTCCTGATTAGTATTGGGTCAATGCTGGAAAGGTAGAGAGACGCACCTGAGCCACTCTGAGAGGCGGAACGGAAGAGGAAGCTGTTTGGTCTCTGAATGGAGCAGAGTGGTCGGGGAGCAGGTGCTATTGCTAAGGACCAGAGCCAGGGACAGGGCAAGTAAGAGAGATACCCATTCAGTATCCCACTCTTTCCTTGAGCCATAAGGTCCCAACCAGCCCCTCACCTACACACAGATTCCCATCCTCCTCCCAAAGCCCTGTCCCACCTGGTCCAGCTACAGGAAGGGGCTCCTGGGAGGTGGAGGCAGGGGTGGGGGCTCCCTGTTCCCCTGCAGCTCCCAGTTGAGTGCCACTAGACTTCGGCATGCCACTGAGAAGAAACAGGAGGGAATTAGAGAGGGTAATCAGGGAAGGGGTACAAGGAAACAACTTGGACAGGAAACCTACTTGTATGTGGCTTGAGTAGACAAGGTTCCTCCTCCTATAACTCTAGTCCCCAGCTTCAGAAAACTGCAACAGCAAGGAAACATTTAGTCAGTGTGCCCTGCAGGGCTACCAACCCTGGGGCAAACAACTTAGGAAGGGGCTGTTTCTATGCATTTCCTGGGCCCACCATCTAGCAACAGCCCCACCCAGACTGTGCCCACACCTGTCCTTCCTGGGTGCACCCCACACTCCACTCTGCAGCTGCTGTCGCCGCTCCCGCTCCTGCCACAGCTGCAAGGTGTCTGGGCGCCGCCGTTCCTCCCCTGCTGGCTCCTCTCGTCTGAGAATCAAGACAGGAGAGAGGTAGACCCCAGGGTCAGAGGAATAAGAGGTCCAGCAGGAGCAGAGGGAGGATAGTGGAGTCAGTTCAGGGAGTTCTGGGATACCTGCTGCTTGGTGCTCTCTCCCCATCCCCTGCCACAGGGTTTAATTCAGGTGGCCGCTGCTCCTGAAGAGAGAACAGCACAGAGACAAAGGGAAGGCCTGTACCCTCACTCCTGCACCATTCCTCCCTCCAACTGTCTCCCACCTGGCAGAAACACAGCAGCATCCTCACCTCAGCAGCAGTTCGTTCTTCATCCTCTCCAGGGATGTGGCTGTCAATGAAGTCAATCTGCTCAGGGTCTCCATCAGCTAGAAAGGCCAGGACGCATGTCAGCAAGCAGGGGGCATCAGGCCTTCATCCACCACTTCCCTCTCTGACTGACTCCTATACTCACCAGCACCATCCTCCCTCCTTTCTCTGGGCCCCCTAGGCTCCCGGGCCAGCTCTGAGATCCGAAATGACAGCTCAGAAAACTCATCTGTTGACTGTAAGAGCAGAGATGCTGACATGGGAGACAGCCTCTCTGCAGGACTGGAGCTTGCAGGATTTCAGGGTCTACAGAGTCCTGTGTGGGACTGGGATTACAGTCTGTGGCTAAACAAGCCCTTCCCCAAGACACAGGGGAGAAGAAGGTAGGAAGAGGGCAGCTCCAGCCACCATCTGACATTCTGGGATTCAGAGGTAACAGGCAAAGGGTCCCTAATTCAGAGTTCCTCTCCCAGGAATGATACCCCAATCTCTTGGAATGGAGGCCCTTACCTCATTTCCAGACCACCTTTTGCTGCCACTGTCAACACTGTGGAAGCCTGAGTCCAGCCCACCATCATATCGACGTCCCGGAAATAGATCCTCAGCAGGGCTGGGGCCAGCCAAGGAGATCTGGTCAGTTCTATACTGGGCAGCAAGTCCCCGCATCCTCCCCCCAGAAACCAGGGTCCCTGGTGCCAGGAAAGAGAATTAAGTATGCAGGTGCTTCTTTCCATTACACCAAGGACTTACCAAGGACTAAAACTTGGGGGCCGGGAAGGGGCTAGGTCCCCCAGTGCAGACCCACGCTGCCCAGCCTCTGTTGACAAGTATTTGAAGATATGAAGTTTCCCCTTCAGGCAGATCTGTGTGTGAGGAGGGACACACCAGGGAGTGAGGGAAAAGAGGGTGGCTCCCCAAATCTTGCTTGGCTACCAAAGGGACCCACCCTCATCCCTGTCCCTCTGGTCCACCTAGGCCCACGCCTCACCTGGGCAGGTGGGCTTTGCAGAGGGTTGCTGTCCAACAGAATGACCTGCAGGTGCCTGAGGCGGCAGAAGGAGACCGGAATGCAGGAGACACGGTTACAGGAGAAATCCAGGCGGACAAGAGGAAGGTCCCCCAGCTCTGGGGGTTCGGTGAGGGAAGAGTCAGGAGCATGCCCAAGGAGGTGCCTTTGCTGACCTCCTCACCCTCTGCTCTGGCCAACTGCTCACCCCTGGGCCTATCACAGCCTCTCCCCTGGGTGCCTCAGGTCAATCCCTCTCTCTCCACTCAGACATAGGCTACCT